CAATCAAGGGAGATTTCCCCCCCCCCCCCCCACCAGGAGACATGTGCAATGTCTGAAGACATTTTTGGTTGTCATCACTGGGGAGGTGTTACAACATCTAGTGGGTAGAAGCCAGGTGCTGCTAAACATCCTACAATGCACAAGACAGCATCCCTGACACACACAACAAAGAATTACCAGGTTTAAAGCGTCAACAGTGCCAAGGTTTAACCCAATGCCTTCCCATAAACCAAGAAATGGAGACTCGGAGGAGTAGAGTGATTTGCCCTAAACCATCCTACCGGACAAAACTGGAGAAAGAAAGCCATGGTGCCCACCTCCCTTGTGGCTGCCTTTTAAAGTCACACAGATGTTGCATTTAAAAACATAAATATTCATCCTCAAAGACCTGCAAATAAGCTCTCTAGCCTAAGCTCACCCAAGTACTTTTAGAATGTATCCTATTCTTAGAAATAAACTGTTTTCAAGATTTCTTAGAAAACAGCAACAAAGGGTTAACAATGAACAGATGCTCTTAAAGGAGGCCTCTAATTCTCAGTACAATGTGGAAGGGCTTGGCCAGTGACTGACCTTTTCTGCACGACATCTCCTGGGCCCCTCCTTTTAGAACGGTGGTAAGCCAAAGCAGGCAGAAAGCACAGGACATAAAGAAAGCAACCACTCTATCCCAGACCCTCAACCTCATCGCAGGGAAGGACCTTACCAAAAATAAACAATGGCCAAGGGAAAAGAATTCTCCAAACTTTAGTTATGTTCACTAGTAGAATTTTTCTGAGGCTAGAGCCCTCCAAACCAAGGTCCATTTTTACTCACCTGTGGTCTTTAGTTGCCATTATTTTTAAGAACCCAAAAGAGACGTGGGAAGGAAACAGAACACCCCCAATGTCTGAGCTGCCTGAGATCTTTGACTACACCGAGGGCTTCACTTGCTGGGCTCTGTTCATGTTCCCAGAGTTTAGTATCATGAAACCATAGAGGCTGCGATCTATACACCCTGACCAGTCCCATAGTTGGAATAAGGGGCTTTACGCAAGGATGGGGTGGGCAGTCCTTCCTCCTGACACAGACTTATAAGAAAGCAAGTTCACCACTAGGTTCTTTGCCCACCTCTCTCTAGGAATAGGTCAAAATAAAAAGATAGTGCTTACCAAGATTTTTTTTTTTCTTCTCACCAGTAATATATGATCTCTGCTCTTATCCAGCCCTGGCAAGTCCTAAAACCAATAAGTGCCCAGGTGTAAGCAGGAGTAGGCATCAGACTAGAGAAGAAACCGCAGATGAGAAAAGACCCAATGTACACACATAACAAAACCAAAAAAGCCATTTTTATTGAAAATTAAATTCAAACTTCAAATTAATATTACAATCATGAGAAAAATGCCAAATAATTCAATTTACAGTTGCAACATACAATACAAATAGTCCCTTTGAAGTTAAGAGTAAACTCATCCACAATCATGACCTGTGGCACAAAGCAGAATTTGTACAATATGTGTATGGAAAGCAAATCTTGGGCAATAGCAACTGGAAAAAATAAAAATGAAAGCTTGTATTTACACAAAATGCTACAAATATTTTTGTTCCACAGAAATCTAAGAATGGTAAAGCATATCCAAAAAATGGAATTTTATTCAGAATACCTAAGAAATTATTGTAAGTTATGGTTCTGGCTGATATATTTCAAAGTACTGCATTAAAAAGCAAACAATTATTTGTAAACATGAAGTAAACAGACATCTAAAAAATGCTCACAAAGAAAATATTTTTAAATGCATTATCTTTTTAAGAACAACAGATTCAAGGTTTAGAAGAGTCGTCTTTTATTTGATTTATTATTGTTCTTTCAAATACGGTAGGTATTATTATCACTTTTGCTAATGCTTTGTGTTTCCATGTACTAAACTAGATTCTGGGTCAGTCCCTTTCCTCGGAGTGGAGGGAGCCCGTTAGCCAGCATACACATCTCCTCCCTGTTGAATTTACGATGGATAGTCCCTAATAGGGTGGAGTGGACTGCTCTGCTCAATTTTAAAGGGCCCTGGGGTGGGGGTGGGAGGGGAGACAGTCTAAAGAGCAAACAATAGTAAATCTGTTGAGTTCCAGGTTGAATGGCATTCCACTAATCTAAAACCGAAGGTGAGGTACCTGTTCTGGACATAGGTTAAAATGTGTGAGACAGTTGAAATGGATAAAAATGTGGCTGCGTTGCTCACGCTGTAAATTCCAGCAAGTTTGTGCTACATAAAGAACCACACTATTTAACCCCAAGGTAATAGAGTGTTGACTAGTACGTGGTTCCATAGTAGTAGTATGACTTTGCTCTGGTCTTGAAATTACAAATCATATACGTGACCCAGTGCAAATTAAGGGTGCAGTGGGGAAAAATTTTTTTAAAAGAAATATTTAACCCCTAGGCCACAAGAAAGGACAGTATTCATTCTAACAAATGTGAATTACCCCATTGGGGTGGGTTGGAGTGAGGGTGGAGCGAAGAAGTGCTTGAATTTTTTCCCAAGGAAAAAAACTTTTAAAGTGTTTCTGGGTTGCTGCCTGCAGCCACTATAACATTTCAACACAAAAGCATCCCTAAAGTCACTTAGTATGTGTACTGTAAACTTAAAAAAGCCCTTTTAACATTAAAAAATAATGTACAAATATAGTACCATTTTTTATTAAATAGGGTGTAGCTGGCACCGGCAGTAACATTTTTATGTCAATTAATTAAAATTGAAATGTGTAACCAGACACTGGCTTTTTTAAGTGCTGCTGAAACAAACACACATATTTTACACTTACAAATAAATGGACAGTGGCATGCTTCAAGCTACCACACACAAACAATAAATAGTATCAATTACTACTTCCATCTTAAGTAAAAGAAAAGTGGCTTATTTATCTAAGCATACTTGGTATACAACCTTTAGAAGGCAAAGTGTTTTCTTTTGTTTTCCCCTCAGTTTTTATTAGGAATCAGGATGAATTCCAAGGGACACTCCCAAGCAAGAAGCACAGGTCCAACTACCTCATAAGCTTCCTGCAATGCTTGGCAGCCTACAAAAGTGGGCTTGAGAATGACCAGAGAGCAAGGGGGCCTCTGCAAAGTTCTACTTAGGAGGGCACAAGATTCAAAAGAGGGAGCCCTGACCTGTGGGGGAAGAGAGCAGGGATTTGCCTGGTTGGTGTCATTAAATGTGCCTGGCCTGTATTAAGGATTTGCACTTGGGAACTTGCCATATGGCTGCCAGGAGTGGTCAAAGTGCATCCTACAGGAGGGCTCTAGCTCAAATTCATACACAGTAGTAGACACCAAACTGCACATACCATGCCCTCCCTTGGCTCTCTATCGTAAGAAATACAAATGTCAAAGGCTGCATGTAGGTCCCCACAGGCTGTATATCCTCTCAGATCAGCTACCTCCTGGAACCTGGCTGCTACTTCAGATGACCAGCTCCCATAGGACAATGACTTCATTCTGCTCCTTTAAATGCGAATTCTGTGCCAAGCTGCCAGTGGGGCCGTGGGTAAGGCAGATTTTGGTTCCCCTGATTTACTGTTTGGTAAGGCTGGTTGTTTAAGAGTCCCTGGTGCAATTTTGCTTTCCTGTACTATATGCATCGTGATTGATCCTTTATCCACATGTGTGGCTTTAAGCTGACTGTGTCTTCACTAAGAAGCCTGGCGATTTAAAGTTTTGCTTAACTCTGAATCCACAGAACATTCTTCTGCAGTTCAATGATTCATTTGTGCTTGTCTTTTTAATATGACAAGAGTCATAATTATCCAAAAGAAATTAGGAAACTACATCCCTCCAGCATTTCATGCTGATAAAGGGCAACAGAAGTGATAAAGGGCTTAAAGTTGTTTTTTAAATCCCTAATTATTGCTTTACAAGGCAAAGCTGTGTTAAGAGGCAAAGATTTGAAAGAACTAAACATAACATTTCCTTCATACATCACAAAAACAAGCTACATCTAAAATATTTGGAGATGGAAGTATTTTTAAAAATCACATTGTGCCTGGATGAACTGAAATTGCTTAGCAATATTTCAGATATGGCTCTAGCCCACTAAAGAAATTTGTTATTTAATAAAGAGAACTTTTAGAGACCGAAGTCAACATATCAATACACTAAGAAATGTTTCAAGGGTCCAAATGTCATTAAATAATTATAAATATATCTTTAAAGTTATATGACCATTCACGTTAGCAAGTTACCTCAGATTTTACACATATTCATAATTTAAAAAAAAAAAAGAAAACAAATAACACACAGCCAAACACAAACACTATCTATACCATTATGGCTATAATAAGGTATTGCCATTTTCAGTTTTGCATAAAAGGAAAAGGGGAGTTTTAGGAATGGGATTTCTTTTTGGTTAAATGGGAAAAGGGGGGAAAAGTATAAAAAAGTAAAATAAAATTATGTATCCTGATCAGTATTTTTGAAATCACTTTTTAGAGTAGGAAAAAAAAAAACAAAACTGAACCAATGAGTTCAAATGAGTACCTGCAGCAAGTCTGAAAGCAAAGTTTGGAACAGTTATCCTGAATGGATCATACCATAATGGAAGCATCCATTCTACTGCTTGTCCCTTTATGTGCACCATGACTGGCTTTGTAAGCTGGTCTGCAGAGTGCACCGGTCCATACACAGCTGCAACCATGAGGGTGTGTGGTTTCAAAGCACAGAGAGGAAGTGGCTTTGCTCTTCTTCCTCCTGAACCTGGAGTCCACCTCTCTGAATTGGCATAAGAACAGGTTATTTATGATAATAACCAAACAACAACAACAAAAATACCTTTTCCCTTGTAACAGTACATCTTAAATAGTAAACAATCTGAAACCTGATTATGATTGTCTCTCTTGGGCCTTCTGCTTCTCAATATCTACCCTCTTACGGTTGCAAGATCATGACAGAGTGAATGAAAAATCTAAAAAGTAGGCACTTTGTAGATAGCTAATCAATATACATATATATGCACTCTCTCTATATATGTATATATTGACACATGTGGGATGTAGCCCCCAGATACCGCTGGGCCACTGCTGAGAAATTTCAATATGGTCGCCAAACAGATTCATCCATTCTGCCACTAGAATTCAGAACAGTTGGGGAACTGCTGTGGCTTCCATCAGCGTCAACACCATCATTCTGGTTGGGCAAATTTGGATTTAATAGCGTGCTGCCATTCGAGGTGGTGGTGCATGGCGGAAGCATTCTGGAAGGAGACCGGTCTCCTCCCGGCACCATGGGGAACTGATAAGATCCTGACGAAGTGCCATAGTAGAGATATGGAGTGCTGCTGGTCTGGAAGGGTCCACTCTGGCTTTGGGAAGAGCCGGGGTAGGGTGGTGGCAGGTAGGTATGGTAGTGGGTGGTGGCGGACATACCGAGGGACATGCCTGAGGTGACTGGCGGGGTGTAAGTAAAGGTGGCTGGATAGTGCATTCGTGGGTTGGAGAAGCGGCTCTCAGTGAGGGATGAAATGCTTGGGAATTGCCTGGGGTCTGAAAAAGGGCCCAGTTCTGAAGCACCTAAAAATTATAACAGAAGATGGGGGAAAAATCTGTAAATATCAATTAAAATAATGATAGAATTTTTACAAGAAAAAAGAAAACTTTAGCTTTCCCAAAAAGGAACAGCAAGCCACAAAACAGACCTTTTAATTTCATTGGTCACTTCACAGTCTTTTTTTTTTTTTTTCCATTTTACAGTCTTAACGGCATTTATCTTTAAGCTCTTCACCCCCGGAGAATCCCAAAGGGCTTTAAAAACACAAATGTGTGCTAGGTCATATGTGTAAACCAACCCAACACTCTAATCATATAGGTTCACTCACCAGACTTTAAGATTGAATCCTCATTAGTTTTTTTCTCTCTCTGTTTCTTGTTGCACTTTAGATATTTAAAGTGAAATTTTTACTAAGTCAGACAAGTAGTTTGTTTTTCTCAACCCAATATAAAATTATAAAATGATCAGTTTTATTATTGGGACTCTTGGCAGGGCTCCTTCATCAATGAAGGGACATCAAAAAAATACCCTAACATGTTCCTATTGCTTCTTTTAACCCTTTAAAAGAATTTGAAATCTTGTTATAATCTTCATCTTAGAAACAGTGAAATCAAGCCAGATTTCAATGTAATCTGAAGCTATCTTATTTATCTGGGGTGGCATAGGAGAGTCTGGTCCTCAGGGATTCTCCAAAGGGTCCTAAACTGGATAAGTAGGTTTTGAAAGGGGGTAGCAGGAGGTACCTTAAGGAATAACTGCATTCCAGGTCCTAATGGGAGATTGTGACCTGACTGAGGCCAAGTGCTGACAGTAGCTTTTGTGAAAGGCTTGCTGCCTAGGGGAGATTAAGAGGAAAGCACCTCCCTGCCCATCTTCCAGGCCCTGTACCACATCCTACAGAATTAGCATGAGGTAAATTTGAGGGAGTAACCTAAAGGTAAAGACGGTTTTCCCCTAAAATGTGAAGTCCTTTAACTTCTAAAACTAACAGTATGCCTCCTTAATAGACATTTCTGGTGCCTAACATATAAAACCACAGTTGTAAACTATTTCATGTGGAAATCAGTGTTCTGAAATGCCTACAAACTTATAGTTGGGATCTTTAAAGACTGGGTTCATTATGATTTTCTAGAATCGACGGAATTGTGACAAGCCCTTTTATAATACCAGTATTCTTATTACAATTTTGATCTCCTCTAAAATCTTCCAATTATTTGGATCTCATACATTTGCTTTTCCTATAGCTTTTAGCTATAAGAAAAAGTACTCAGCAATTTTGAAGACCTTAGTGAATATGTTCTTCTTCAGTCCTACTTTTATTCAGCACTTGTTCTTGAATACTACAATGTTTATTAAAGGAACAATTCTAACGCTTTTCTTTAAAGGTGCTCATTGAGGGTTGTTAATTTTTGTTAAAATGCACACTGCTTATATGCACTTGTCATCATAAGTGTCATGATGTGCATTTTTAATAAAAGGTTAACTATTTAAAAACAACATATTGTTAACAAAACTTTTTCTCACAAATCGGACAGTACCGATCAGACAACCCAGCCCAGCCCAGCCCTGCCCAGCCCAGCAATTGTTAAAAGTCTCACCTGCCTGGCTCTTCTTACTGAGAGTGGAAGGCCAGAGGCAGAAGTCAGAGGTGGCAGTGTCATCATCTGTAAAATGAGGGGGATGAGCTCTAAGTTCCCTTCCGGCTCTAATGTTCTGTGACCATGAATTCCAAGACAGAAGGAGAAGCAACAGCCTTAGAAGAGGAGTAGACAGAGAGGATCCCATCCCTCATTAGTATTTCCCCAGAATCCACAGGCCCATAAGCAGAGGGTGAAAAGCTAGTGAGCATCTTCTAATTCCAGAAGCAAATGCTTTCAAGATGACAAACCAAAACTAACATAGCCCGGGCAGTTACTCCCTGCTTTTTATAAATTCTTGCATCCTCAACTTGCCTCTACCTAACCCCTCCTGAGACTGAAATTCTGACAAGCTCAAGTTTAAAAACATGGAAGCAGTGGTTATGACAGAATCAGAAATGGGAGCAGATGAGATTTAACATCTCTCCAGTGCAGTGCTTATGCCCTGTCTTATACAATACAGACACTGGATGGAGGCCACACATGTTCCTCAGCCAGCCTTTGCTTTGCAGAACATCTAGGTGAACTTGAATTGGCAGAGCTAATAGTTATGGGCAGGTCACTTCTGAATGCATTAAGTTCAATACTCAGATCATATGAGAAAAACCAGAAAAACGTGAGCAATTTAAAACGGAAAGAAGTCGCACTTAAAACATCAACATTTGCCCCCCTACAGAAGCATGCAGTTCACACAGACGATAGTTATGGGCAGGTCACTTCTGAATGCATTAAGTTCAATACTCAGATCATATGAGAAAAAACAGAAAAACGTGAGCAATTTAAAACGGAAAGAAGTCGCACTTAAAACATCAACATTTGCCCCCCTACAGAAGCATGCAGTTCACACAGACGGCATGTTAATATAAAAAATGCTCCTCGTGTGTATTTGTACTTAATATATACTGTAGTAATAATTAAAACTCCATGTGGTTTCACTTATTGTGATGCAGAAGCCTCATGAAAACCCTTTATGTGGGGCCCTCCAGTATGGTTTTGAATTTACCTCTCCCCACACTTTCTTCTCTTTTTCACCTGATACATTTTGCTGATGTTTTTATTACCCATCACATGCCAGGATCACTGTACCTTTTTGGTTTATAGATGCTAACTAACACAAATTGACATTCATTTTTCAATTAATGAGATCTGGTTGTGGTTTATAGAAAACAATGCAACAAATTTCCACTACTATTTTGACCAATCACTTCTAGTCATTTGAGACTATAATGTCTTAAGGATTAACTCTTTCTTGACAAAGCGAGCTAATGTGGACTTTAAAGGGATTACAGGATAAATTTTAAAACTTACAAACAATAGAATTTTCTGGAATTTGCTTAGTCATTTTATGTTACCAAGAAATGTTCCTGAAACATACGGCAATGTTTTCTGTATGAAGAAATATTAACAATTTGCTACAGTATAATATGAGATCCTTTATATAACCATCTATGATAAAGTAGGTAGAGGAATCCTAAACTTAAAAAGAAAAATATAAACCCCTTCCTAATCTCCTATTTATTTATAATCATTGTTGCTGAAGCAAACAGTATAAGTAAATTTTCTTTCATTGAATAAGGTTGTATCTGTACTTCTAATCTCTGTTTTGTACATGAACTCAGGTTTTCTTTCAGATCCCCTTCTTGGGTTATTTTGACATTGTGTCTCAAACTATTCAATACCTTGTGTCACATTATAGCCACAAACTTAAAAATATATATATTGCATCAACTAAAGGAAAGAAAATGTAAATTCAGCTTATAAAAGAGTTCACAAAAAAGATGAAAGCCTAGAGAGTTGTGAAGGTACTATTATCCCAATCAAATTTTATAAAGGTAAACCCAAAGAGGTGTGCCTTGTAGTCTCAGAGCTCCCCAGAACCAGTTTAAAACTGGCTTGATTAAAACTGCTGAATAAATAAAGCCGTTGGTGATTTGGGGACCTTTTTATTTATTTTATTTTATTTTTCTAGCAGCTGGCTGGTACAGGGATCCAAACCCTTGACCTTGGTGTTATAACACCATGCTCTAAACAACTGAGCTAATTGGGTACCTTTTTAAAACAGCAAGGAACAACTTTCATAAATCCATTCTTTTTGCTATTGTCCATGTATCTTTTCCATGCACAAAATTCACTGAGCTTTGCCGAACAACAGAAGTTGCTCAGAAGTTGAGCATGTTACAGTCAACACCAGATCATCTAATTCTAAGAGTTTCAAAGTTGTGTGTGCCAACATTCAGGGATGCCTGGGGACTGCCAGGAGTGACTGGAACCCCAAGATAAACATGGTATATCTTCCTGATGGGTTGGTTTTACTCAAACTGAGGAAAGGGGTACATTATAAAGTAAATAGGAACTTGATATAGAGGAAAATGCAATGTTTCAGTGAATTGTTAGACAAACAAAATGATTTCAACAAAATTTTTCACTTTGAAGCTTTAAGCTATGCCCCCAAATCCTCTAAGATGCCCATGTCCCCTCTTCTGCTGGTTGAGATACTCCAATGGAAGTCTAAACTTCTAATTTACTACTTTCCTTTTAGAAGTCTAAACTTCTAATTTAACCCATTTGACAAACAGGGAAAAGCTGAAATTCAGAGAAAGGAAGCCACTTACTCAATTACACAAACTCACACAGCTGGAGGGAGACACAGCCACGACCACAAAGACCTCTTCAGCTTCCAACAAAGGATATGCTTTTTAGTTACCCTTAAGGAATTTGGTTGACATGATCACAAATATCTCTGTCTATCTATTTCCATATCTGCTATCTTAGAAGTCTATTTGCCTAAATGAAAAATACTTACGTAGACTCTTCTCGTGCCTAAGTGTGACCCCAATGAGAGTTACTACCTTTTGGATATTAACAATGGTTTTTGGCCTTGTTGTTGATCTAATCTGCTAAACAGTGGGCAATTAGTTCAGTTGCTCAGGGCATCATGTGAATGAGACCAAGGTCAAGGGTTTGATCCCCTTAGGACATGCTGGCTTCCCACAAATGCACTTCATTCCAAAGCTGCTGTCTACACCCCTAGCACAGCCAGGCAGCTTGCAAACAAATGTAGCTGTCATAAAGAGAGCTACAAGAACCTTGCTCATTAAAACAGCAACAGCAGCATCAGTTTTTCACAACCTAACGTACATAGGGAAGAATATATTAATAAAACGCCTATGAAGCTCAAATAAAAATAAAATCAGTGTTAAAAGTAAAAACATCTTGTCCCTCCCCACAAGGCCTATGAGGGAAAGAGAAATAGCTTCTCCTTACCCAACCACATTTCTTGGTCTTCAGAGCAAGTGGAAAGTGTGTGAAACCAAGATAAGGAGGAGTAAAAGAGAACCTCTGATCTCCTCTAGCTCTTGTGGTCTGCAATCCTCCACCGACACCTTTCACATACTGCTTTCTAGTGCTACTTATCCTGGGTCTTGTTTGACTCCCAACTGAATAGTGAGCTGTTGAGGGCAGAGATCTACAACTTCTTTGTTTCCCCTTCAGTGCTTGATGACGATAATACTTGACACTTCTAGTCCTTTACCAAGGCCTTTACTTCAACATGCCTTTTTTCATTTAACAGGCCCTCAATAAATAATGGTTGGCTGAAAATGGGCAAGGAGATCTCTAGAATGAAAGGAAATTGGAGTTTGGGAACAATAGCAGACTGCGCACTTGCCATATGGGGCTATCAGCTGGCAAACACTGTATGGTGTTATCTTCCCCTCTGAGCACTAGAATTTACACATCCCCACCAAGGAGACAGGTTGAGGCAGGAAAAAAGGAAAAGGGGCCTTGAATCCAGACTGAACACATGTTGGCATATTCAGAGTCCTCTGTCCTACTTTTTTTATGCAAGGGCATAAACGTACAGAATGAAAAGCCATCATACTTGTCAGCAATGAGGTGTTAACTTCAAAGCTTCATTGGGGCCTTTAAAATGGTAGGAGTTATTGCTTCAACAAATCTCAAATAAAGCCCAGGAACTTTTTATTAACCCCCTCATGGCAGTCTTTCTCTTGGAACATATAATACACAAGATCTACGCAGAGCTGCTCTCCTCTGGTAACTAAGAGTCTTCTTCCCCTTTTACAGCATTTTGCCTGCCCCTTTCCCACTGCTCTATTACATAATTTCCTATTTCACTTCTGTTCCAGTAGCATTTATTTTCTATATCACTCTTTTGTGCCCTTACTCATTACTTTATTGAATTATTAACTGTTTCTTAGTCTGTTCTCTCCAACTATAAAATCAGCCTTGGATGGTAAAGGATTAACTTTCCTCTCATACCCTTCTCAGAACCTAGTACACTATAAGAGTTTAAAATTTTAAAAAATGTGGGTGTATGGATGGATAAACGAACAAGTAAATAAGTAAAAGGATCAGGAACTCTGTACAACAGCTAGCACATTGTTGACACATTAAAAAAAACATATAAAAAGAATCAAGCAATGCTGACATCAAACCTAAATATAATTCAAATACATTCCATATCTATAAAACCTTGTAAAACTCTCTTTAAAGAGCGTTCAGGGCTATTTCCAAGCATCGTTACATCATTTGACCTCACATTACAGACAGGGCCTCACAAACAGCAGTTGGCACTAGTCAGCGGAAGCCTCTGGTTTTCTACTGGTGTTATTCCCACTCCATTCCCAGCACCTGTCCTGCCTCAGAGCTGGTATGTGTGTGCAGGTCCACACTGGGGAGCCCTGGGGAGAAGAGATGAAGAGGAAAGAAAGCCAGGCCAGAAATGCATGGCCTGCTGGAAGGTTAGTACACTCATCCCCCTTCATAATCCTGAGTTAGTGCTGTCAGTAACATCATGGTATTTATTTGGAGTGAGTAGTTAAAGTAACAGAGGGTAAAACTCACATCCTGTCTGAACTTCTAGGCTACTATATTAAACCAGTATGTCAGAGTCATCAAGAATTATACATGACTTATAGATAACATGGAAGCCTGCAGACGTGTGGATCTGAGTGGCAGCACGAGACTTGAATGTGGTTCTCCTGTCCCAGCCGCAGTGTTCTCTATCT